TTGCACGTTTGACCCCGTCCAAAGGGCGTATGATCCGATGAACTGGACACCGGTCCCCAATGGAATGCGGTTTTCGGACACCGTCCCGCTGCCTTGCGCGTCAGGCTTTGGCTAACCAAAGGCTCCGGTTGTGGATTTCTCTTCAAATTCACCTGCCTTGGTTCGGGCAACATCGCAGTATTCCGTGTACAAGGAAATCATGGAACGTTTTCCTTTTTCATGAAATTTATTGTCCCATGATTTGTTTGGCACACAGTCTGGATTCAGACGTGTGTGAAAATATATGTCACCGAATAGGTTTCCAGGGCGCGCGATGCCGAGGAAGGTAGCGTGTTTCATTTATTTTCACGTATTTCCGAATCCAGACTGCCAAAAAAATTCACAGTGCAGTAGTCGTTGTAAAAATGAGAAAGTTCCATAATTTGTATGTGTGCGGAAGACTGCCACGTTGTCCAGGTGGATTTTATTTTCGGGATTCACAACCGGGGCGTTGACTAGCCAAGGCTTGACCAACAAGGCAGCGAGGCCTTATGAAAACCACAGGTAGACAATGGGTGGCAAACAGTTCAAGACAATGAAACTAAGACCTGATATGAAAACCCTAACGAGGAGACGCGCTCACCGGGCTTCCTGGATGGGGACCCCGAGATGATGGTCACCAGTGGTTAAAGACAGTGATATGGATGAGTGTCGCGAACAGTGGCGCTCGTGCGTGCACTCGTTATTCTTACAACCGCAGTCTGTATAAATTCTCTATCTTTTCTTTGACTCTGCTCTCAACTTTCCTATCTTCTGCTCTTTTGTTTAAATGGACAGCCAAAAGACCGGCGAGCGACGGTGCACGGTTATAAAAACTAAAGCGCTGAAAGCTGAGTGTCGCTTTCTTTCTCATTCAGTTGTTCTAATGTGAGATCCCATCATCCATACGATCAGTTTTCGAGGATTTCCGTTGATTTCCATGATATTTCGTTGCACTAAAAAGTGTAAAAATGATTCTTCCGTCACACGACATTTCATATCATTATATAATATCTCGTCTTTCTCTCAGCGACCCTCGTGATACACGCATATTCACAAAGAAATATGGCTGCGACGGTACAATTTACCTATGATTATGCAATTCCTACGGTCACTTCGACCTTACTTCATCCACTTGTGTACGCGAGGACCATGATGATGGTAAGTATACTCCAATCCTGACCATGCTTTTTCACCACATTAGCTGGGCTATGAACCAGAGCCTCCTGTACTTCGACCCGTATTGTATACGTTAATCGACAAGAACTATCGACGACTGGTCTATCCAAATATATTCAGCTATCGTGAGTTCTGATCCTTTTTGTTCCCCTTCATTTGACAACAATCACTGTAGTCAGCCGTCTACGTGAAGATGTCGGCCTGTTCCGTCTTTTCACCACGGGATTACCAGCCAGTATTTTTGGTGCCTATATCAAATCACATACGACTGAGCATATAATGGAGGTAAGTCTACCGAGGTTTCAAAGGAGGAACAAAGCTGGTTACTGTCGAGACTAATCTGTTTTTCAACTGTTAAATGATCAGTAGCCTCGTTAGGGTTCAAACTTACGCATGGACACCGTTTGTACAACATTCGCCCCATCTAAAACTGCGATGCTGGTCGTACTTTCATCCTTAATCATTCATCGAACCCACAGAAGCATCAATTGGCATACAAGCCATCTGCTCCGGCAGGTTTTGTTTACCTGTGGCTCCAAATTCTCATAGCTATCAACTATTGCTGCCTCTGTGCGAGGCCAAAGTGAAACACAAGTAGATCCGGATCCGGATTATCACAACAATTCATTTTGTCATGCAACATCGTTTTATTCAGGATTTACCTGATAAATATCATCAATGTAAAGTCCCGAGCGATATTCTTATTTTTCCTTTGCCACAGAATAGGCTGTCGCTAGATGGACGAGGAACACCAATTGACAGCGCAAATAGTGGTTAAAATCTTCCCTCATTTCGTTTAAGAAACAGACTTGCGTTCGTCTACAGCATGCTATGGTCATGCATAGTGAAACAGACTCTACCTAATCTCGCTTCGGTTAAAACACAGCTAGAAAACCTGACCTCGAATGTGGGCGATTAAGCTGAGTACCTTTTCAAATCACTCGCTATCGTGTGGTATGCATCAGAAGTACTGAATCTCGATTTGCTGTGGTTAATGAAACTGAAGACCCGAAGACTGATAAGAAAAATGGTGTTGGTGATCACGTGCCTCACTTCACTGTTACACGCGTATTCGGGACCCAGGGGTTCGAGATCTGAACCCTGCTACTGCCACTCATTTTTGATGGTATGCGGCTTTCTCGTCGTTAACCTTGATACTACACATGTCTTATTCACTGATCTGAGTTTCAGGGCTGAGATCACCGGTTCTCGTAACGGAATAAAAGGTCTTCGTGACTCTGGGGTTCACTCCTCTGATAGTTCATCGTATTAAAATGTGTACTAAAAAGGGGAAAATGAACAACGCGACAGGTGAACTGTCTACTACAATAGTGGTCTGGTGATGGAAGAGCCTATAACTGTGAAGGCCTTCATAAACTAATACAATGATCGAGAGCTACTCAGATCAACTACGGTATTCTCCAAACTTCGGGTACTTATTTATAAGTTTCATAGTAATTAATGCGAAGAGATATCAGCTATCTCCCCCACCTCCATTACCGTCAAAAGATACGTAAGTCTCTTAATCGTTTCTATCGATATACACGTAAAATGGCACTTGGTTGAGTTAATTCGTACTATCTTCTGTGCCAGAAGAAGCTAATTTTGTTGACTGGAGCGAAAAAAGCGAACAAATCAAACCTTCATGAGAGCAAGAATAAGCATCATAGGATCACAGAATATGTCGAAATCAACTATTGCGTGGTGTATTATACATATTTCACACACG